TAATGAGAACATTACTTTACGTAGGTATACAAATATTATGTTAAAGTACGATATGCAAGCACTTAACTGCAGTCGTGTGTTTGGACGAGATTTCTAAGAAAAAAAAATCCCAGTTTTTTATTTTTATTTATAAATTACATAACGCTCGATAATTAAGTCATCAGCTATTTACCGTGTTATGGACGGGAGCGCGCGCGCTCGCTTCCGCCGCGTAAATATACTGTACCTACACGTATTACTGCATTCGTACGATGTAATCACCATCGTCGTTATCCGAAATGATATAATTTCTCTGCTGCTGCTGCTGCTCCTCCTCCGGAGGGGATTTCATTATTTTTTTATATACATAGGTATCGCACTACGCACGGCAGCGTCTTTAAACAGTACGCGTCTATGTTATTATACAGTACCTAATAACGCGCGTGTAGATATTATATTATTATACACCTACCACAACGAAAAAACACGATAATAATATTATAATTCCCGCCGCGGCGTTATTAGGTATGGCTGATGTATAGACAAGGGCGTCGAGAGTTTCGAGTCAAGCGCAACGAACATTTTTACTGTCCCGTGTTGTTTTCATACAAACAGTCCGCACTACACTGCAGGACTAGAGGTTGATTAATTTTCATGATATGTAGGTACTCAATATGTAAAATACTATATTTATTTTACATTTCATAATGTTATAAATATTTAACTTTTATGATTTGTTATAAGTTACATTAATAGTATTGGCACGTTTCACCGGTTCCGCGATGCTATTGCCAAGTCACTATCTTACAGATAAACCCTGCAGTTCCTGATTTACCCAATCGTCGTCGGTCCTTGAATGATTCTGTTTAAAATCATTTTCTTTCGATCGCCCGCCAATGTCCTTTGTTTATGATTTAGTGTTAAAATGCAATGTGACACTGCAGCGGGCATAACGTTTTGTTAGAATTTGTCAACTTAACAATCTATAATGAGCAGGCGGCCTTATCCTTAAAGTGTGTCTAGTATCGGCACGTGTATAAAAAAAACCAAAAACATATAAACAGAAGTAGATGCGGGTACAACGTGGGTAGATTGTATAAAAGTTTTTACAAGTATGCAGTAAAATATAAACATAACACAATCCATAATAAGTGCAATAAAAATAATACGATAATACGGTACGACTAGCAGTATAATAATCTACTAGACGATTTACCGAAACCCGTCGGGTCGTGCATTACGTTTAGGGAGGGATGCGCGTACGCGGACATCGTGTATATATTATTATAATGTATGCTAAATGTATATGTACACGCAAACAAGTAAAATAGGTAGATCCTACACGATTTTCTCGTGGCAAATCGAAGCGATTAAAATGTTTTTACGACAAACTCCGGTCGCAGTGATATTGCCATACACGCGCCACACAAACAATGTACATAATAAATGTATATCTATAATTACATATAATATAATATTAAAAAATTCTCTACAATAACGTACCTACGACGAAACTTTTATAGGCATTCAATAGACAATTGGATTATAGTTTATAATTCAAATAAAATTTTTACATTTCCGATTGAGCAAAAAAAAAAAAAAAAAATATATATATATACAATATACATATACAAATTCACAAGTTAATAGTCACATACCTATTAATTTTATATTATTATATTATGTACAAAAAGCGACAGTAAAATGGTAATTCAAAGTGTACTGGCACGCATCCTGCACGTGCGTAAGCAATCTTATGCACATCAACAGTTTTATAGGATGCTTGCGTGATGCCTACACCGCTTACGTACAATATAATATTGTAATATGATGTATAGAAATAAAATATTAAAAATAAACAAAGCGGGAGCGAAGGAGCCCGAAAAACGAAGGAAAAAAACCTACTAAAATACTCGTTTTTCGACGGAACATCGAAACGAATGTTACAAGTCGAAAAAACCATTGGTTTCGATGTCCGTTTTAATAATAATTATTATAAATATTATAATGTTATAAAACGTATTATGAAGTGAGACGCCGGCGTTTTTACAACGATATGATGAGTGCCTAATAGTATTAAATAATGCGTCTGCTGAGTGCGTTACAATATTAATGATATATGCGACACATATGATAGTGATGACGAAATTATTTATAAACACAATAAGGGTGACTGGAGTGTGTGTACTGGACAAGTTTAATTCGATTTACAAATGACTTCGTGTCAAACCTCTTCCTCTTAGTCCATCGACGCTCTATGAATTTACCAAACTCAAAACGTAAAATAACAGTGTATTATGAATTATAAATCGACACATCACGCTGTCACAGAAAACCTCAACTGACAAATCACGAACACACAAGTGTTTGTAAATAAATATTAAATATATATAAACATAGTATACTGAGTGATCGTGCTCAGCTGGGTTTAGTTTTTCAAAAATTATACCATATTTGTTTGAATCAACGTTTGTTTTATATATATTTTTTACATTTTTTACTTTTATCATGAAACAAAAATAAGGATGTTCTATGTAAAAATTAATTTGGTTCAGATCAAAATTATCATTTAAATCATTTGGAATATTCAAAAAAAAAAAAAAAGAGTATCTTAAAGTCAACATCGACTTTTTAATGATTATTTCGTACATAATATTAATTATAGAACAATGCACCAACCGTATACTTTTAAATTTTTTTCTACGCTATATATTATTGCTTTGAGAGGGTATTTAGGAGGAGTGTTCGATATTTTTTTATTATTTATTTCACATTTTTATAACGTAACGGGAGTGTCACAGTAATCCCAAGTAACTTCTATTAATTTAAAATTATAAATTTTAGTATTACTCTACAGAAAAATCGTAATCCGAATGTTTTAAGCTCTACAAAATAACCGAATAATAACATCAATATTTCAAATTTTTCTCGAAACGTCGATCATAAAATATAAAAAGCGCGAATTTTTCGGGAGACGACACCTCGACGACCAGTGGATTGTTATTTTGTCGACGGACCCTTCCAACCAACCACGAAATTCTAACAAAACCTATCGGGGAGAGGGGGAGGAGGTTTTTTGGGAAAAAAATTTACTTACACGCGCGCACACGAGAAACCCGCTATTGCTCGGTTAATATCGCGTACAATATGGAGGATGTGTATATTCTATTATACCTAACGCAGTAACCGCTCGGTACCAATTACCCGGTATAAACACGTGGTACGACCTACTCGCCGGGCTTCCGTTTACTCGCACACATCGCGCGTCTTGTTCGTGCGCTGCACGTCCGCATACGCCCGTGTAATATATGAATCCCCGAGAACTGTGACACGTCTTATTTTTCTCTCCTCCCGCGCGACCGACCTTCTCACAATAACGTTCGTTTCATTTATTATTATTACCATCGTCGTTATGTACGACTCCGGCATACAGTGGTCGAGGGCTCCCCGTCGGGCGACTCTTCGACGTCGACGCACAGAGGCCCCATACACACAAACACACACACTCACACCCGCTGAGCCGAATCCTCTCGCCCGATACGATCCGCGGCGGTGGACGTCGTCTGCCGACGTTGCACATATTATTATTATTATTATTATTGTATACACAATACACATACGTATAATACTACGATATAACATTCGGGCACATACATAAATCCTTTACGTCGTTGCCACCGACTGCACTCGCAGCGATAATAACGAAAATAATAATAATAATATTAATAATAAACCATAAACCCTCAGCCTTTTCGTGTAAACGTGCGTGTGCGGCGCGCACTTACATTATTTCTCCTCCGCGTATGCTCGCGTGCGAGTTTCACATTTTATTTTACATCACGATTCGGCCCAACCCACGTCGGTCGTCGTCGACCCTCTACGGGATCGCTTCTGCTGTCGGATATAGGCGACCCACGCGCGTCCTCCGCCGAGAGACGCGTATTGCACATGGAACCTTTGTGGAATTTTGTCATTTCTTTTGTTTTACCGTTACAGTGGATCAATCGGTTCCGAGAATAACAAGAACGTCGGTCTAGGTCACGGCGCTGTTGTGTTAGAAACAACCGAAACTCTAGGGACGAAATCAAAATCGGATAATTACGTATAACAATACTATACTATATTATGATATCATCGCGTGGACAAACGCCTTCCGAGTAACTCACCCACTGCCTACTCTCAAAATACAAGTTCAGAGGATTGATCACGTTCTACAGCATATCATTACAGCCCGTTTAATTTTTTCTCACCTTCCCCGGCACACAGGTCTATATATAGTACCTAGTTAATAGTCTACTCGTCCACTCGGCGCAGAACGCAGAAGCCAGTAGGTACGTATAGGTAACGACATGTATGCAGAGAAGATGAAGATAAAACTAAGACCGCGGGGTGAATTATTCGTGGAACAGTGTCAGACACGACCAAGTCTTGTTCATTTATACATAATATATTATATATATTTATAGATGAATAATAATGTAAAAGTATTTAGGTACAATATGGTAAACACGAGAACAATGCATTTTTTTTTTTCAGAGAAAATTAATCGATTTCTATTTCGTATCTTTTTTTTTTTTGGTTTTTGTACACGGTAAATAATAATTATTGTAATAATAATATCATATATTGTATATAAAAAAAAAAAAAAAAACTAATTAAATAAACAACGAAAATCCATAACTAATAATAGACATATTATATATATATACTTTTATTCTTATCCCCAGATTGCACTCAAAATCGATGTTTTTTAAATATAAATTCATATTTACAAATTATTTATAATAGATAACATTATTTTCATTCGATATATAAATGCGTGTCGAGCAATACAACTTAATCACATCCCATAATATACATTATAATAATATTATTGTATTTAAGATGCATACGAGGGGGGCTAATATAATATATTATTCTGAGAACACAAACATAGATAATTTTTTTTAACAATATACAATATCGATATTATAATATGTATAGGTAAAAATAATAATAATAATAATAGTAATAATAATAATGATAGTATAATAATAATAATAATAATAATAATATAATAATAATAATAGTATATGTTAGCTTTTAGAAATCTACAGAAGAATGTTAGAACGGTTAAAAATATATTATCTTAATTCCCGCGCGGAGTCGTTTCAATATAATTATATTCAATACAATAATATATAATATATGCAATAAGACGACCGGCGGCGGCAACGGCGACCAGCACAATAATATACGTGAACGTGTGTATAGAGAGTAGTCGAAGAATTCCCGCGTCGAAGACGGCTATAACGATAGACCAGCGGAACAGCAGTGTCCGGAGGTTCAGTCGTCTGTCTGGACGTCCTGAAAATTAAAAAATTAAAAAAATTATACAATCAGTCAGCCGTTACACTTAATACATAGGTAATGAAAAATAAATAATATCTTAAACGTCTGCGTACGTATTGCGGCGGGGCAAAGTGTAAGAATTTCGATGGCGCGAACGTAACAATAAATCCTAACACACCCCCAATCTGCGACCACTCAAAGGCACGCAATACAATAATATCATTTCTTCAGACATATTGCGCAATGGACGAGCCATAAAATCTACGCACAGAGGTAGGTGGTACCACCTCGAATTATAATAATAATAGTTCTGTACGGCGTGGCGTGGGGGCGTTGGAAGACTTTCATCGATAACTCGCGAACAATATAATATTACCTATATAATATGTACAATAACATAAACCCTAAGAGAAGCCGCGCGTTACTAGCTGCACGTCGTTTTGTCGTTGTTGATGTGCGTACAGTTGCGCTACACGTGGTCATATACCCCCCCCCCTGTTTATTACTGCACGGTATCGTATTGAACTCGGGTATTCCGTTTGTAAAGTATATTTCAATAAAAACATTACCAATAATAATGCGTCCGTGCGTCGTCACGCGCATATGATGGTAAACGAGTCCGAGCGCGATGCCATGAGAAACGAATGCATCTGTGTCTCGACTCTCGGAAGTAGTGGAAAGTGGTCACAGAAGCGAATAAAAAAAAAAAAAAAAAAATCAAAAAGAAGTCGGGCGGACGAGCGGCGTGGCTTCGCTTTGCAGTGCGCGATGACGCCGAGCGTTTTTTTTTCTCGTTTCGCAAAACTTTCGGTCCGCCAAGATAGTTTTAACAGCTGAGCAACTGGAGCCGAATTCGCACGGGTCTTTCGCGACGACTCTGCACAGTCGTGGCGACGGACGAATGAAAAAAATAAAACGTTCAATACGACGACGTCAGTTAGCCGACAAAACGGATTATTATTACACCGAGATGCATGCGTACGGCGGGGCTCGACGAGAAGTTCGCGTTAAGCGTATACTTATTACGTATATTACATCTCGTGTAACTGACATGGCGGCGGGGGAGGCCCTCGGTTAGTCGAATGAGACGTTTGTTCTTAAACCTCGTGTGGCTCACCATCTCAAGAAGTTAAAATGTAAAAACTTGCCCGCGGCGAGAGACTAAAAGATGATCTATTATTCGTACACGTCAACATTTAAATGAAATTAAAAATCGATAATAATGATGTGTAATAACCAAGCAATGATCTATTCCATTTTTTTTTTTTTTTTTTTTTTATTAATGTCACGTAAAAAGGTATTAAATATTATCGTATTTTCCTCATCAAAATAAACCGGCAACTGTTAACACCGTTGTAACACAAAACCTCAAACTAATAATTAAGCAAATAGGTACTGAATAGAATACTTTAAAACGTATAATGGGTGATCCGGCGATAAGCACAATATTATATAACATTGTATACAATACAATATAGTCATTAATATACGTACAGGTATCGTAAGACGACTTTCGGGCGAACGCACTTATTGGACGCGTCAAAAAAGAGAAATTATTTTATCCTCCCCCGAACACTTCGAAAAACTTAGGGACGGCCCCGTGTGGCGCGTGCATAACACTGCGCGTAACCAAACTGTTTTGCTACCTATATTATATTATTATTGTGAACACGGACGAAATTCCGTGACACAGAAAATCGATAGTATTCCACGATTATGCGTTTACGACGGAATGATATTGAGAAATCGAAATGCGGTGACGCCGCCGACAATACGTATTTAGCGGCCCATATAACAATAATGATAGCTCAACGGGGTGCGTAATAGCCAATGGGCATGCCCACAACTGTCGTAATAAGCGCACGAAAATACCTGAACATCGACGGGGCGTGAGGTAATCGAGTAGACGCCTTATGTCTCGAGTGTATACGTATATATATATATGAGTGTGTGCATTTAAATGCGTTTATAATATGCAGTCTGACGCGCGCGAGCATATATAATATATATATACATAATGCAAATACATATAAGTAGTATATGGGCACATCTCTCTCTTTCTATACATAAATATATATAAATAAGTATATACACAGACGGACGGAAACACAGACGGAGGTAACCCATTCACCGATCTTAATCTCTGCTCATCTGTCAGTGTCAACACTTGCAGCAGCAGCAGCAGCAGCAGCAGCAGGGCATTCGATACCGGCACTCTGTACTCACCGGATTCTCCTCACTCTTGCCCCTCTCACAATCCAACACTTTTTATCTTATATGGGTACCTGACTTCTGCTCCAGTATCAAATCACTCGCCCAACCCCTCCCTCTTCACTTCACCGCGGTCTCTTACGCTTGTTCTATATAATATACATCATTTCTGTCCACAGATTATAATAGCACTACAATATAACATGCGCATATTATATATATATATATAAATAAAGAAAGAGAGAGAGAGAGAGTGAGAGAAGAGATACACGCGATACAATATATCATCCGAATAGATATTATATACGGGTCCGAGCAGGTGCTCGTAAACAATATAAGTGTATACATGGCAATAAAGCTAGTGATCCATTTAGTCTTGTTTTATGTACTTATTTAAACAGTACTCATATAGTAATATTAACGTGAAGTACGCGTACAAACAACTTATTTTTTTTGTTTTATTAGAAGTCATTTTCAAAGGACGTTTGTAGTTCTTTTTTTTTTATCAGCTAATATTATTAATTTTAATATTTATCTAAAAACATTGTTCTACAAAATATATCAAATTTTTACCAAATGGAATACCTTAAATATATATACGTATTTAAAATGTATAAACGGTGGTCACTTAGTGAACTAAAATATTACCATCAACAAATACGATGAATAATGTAGTACCTACTTTTGATAATGCCCCGGACCAAATAAAACTATATTTTTTTTTCTATATTGTCTATATTGTCTATGAGTCTCTATTGTTAAATAATTGTTTTTAAGTATCTACAATATACACTGATGCGCCCGTACATTCGTAGCAAGACATTTTTATATCAGCGATAATTATTATTGTTATTCGCATTTTTTTCACTTTCCACCGCAGAAATACGTGGCGCTGTCAACGTACCCGAAAATGACAAACGGTGGCGTAAATTAAACGGGTGACACGAAACCGTTCATCTGTCTGTGCTGCTGTTGTTGATGTTGTTGCTGGTGCGGCGGCTGTTGGTGTGGTTGTTGCGAAGGCCTGTAAAACGTACACAAACGTATAATTATATTGGTTCTCGATTAGGTTCGATACGTCACATTCAGTGCATAGTAAAAAACGGTATTATTCTACTTGTTCTATAACGTCAAGTGTGCGGTACCGTAATCACACAAACGTACCACACGGATAATTTGCGTTCAGTAGAATCGATTTTGCGTTAGGTATTTCAGATTGAATATTTTAGCGAGGTAACACCAAACTCAAAGGCGAGGACATAAATATTTAAGACCAGTCGGCTATTTTACGGTGTTTGAGTTTCTAAACGAGTCGTGAGCATTTTCGCGTATTAGTATTTCACACACAACCGCAACTCGCTCAAACATCACTAATCGCCGTTAAAAAACCGACGATAAACGCCATAAAACGTTCGTCGCACCTCTATCGTTATTAAGCCTACAGTTCATTAGAACCCGTTCACTCGGTATATGATATTAATGTAGCCCGCAACAACACTAAATCGGTCCTACTAAACGCAAACTTGACATCGCAAACGACGCGAACGCGTTTTCTCGTCCGACGGGCACCGACCGATTTACACGGCCCACCGTTGACAGAAAGCCAAACGTTTTGCATAATATTCCTTATAGCGGACACTCACGTCTTGTAAAACGGTTTGAACGCCGTGCTCGCGTCGTTGGCCACGACCCCCATCTGATGGTTGTTGTTGTTAGTGTTTGTGTTGTTGTTGTTGTTGTTGTTGTGTTGGCTGAGCGCTACGTGCTGTTGATGATATTGCTGCTGTTGCTGCTGCTGCTGCTGCTGAACTTCTTGGGCCGACCTCACCACGTCGTGCTGCTGCTGTTGCTGGAGCGGCGGCACGTGTTGCCGGTGGTGATAGTTGTGCTGCTGCTGCTGTTGCTGTTGGTGGTGCTGCTGATGATGGTACCCGTTGTAAGTGGCCTGATGGCCGCCAAACTGCTGTTGTTGTTGCTGCTGTTGTTGACCGGAAGAGGCGGACAGCGGTAACTTCATGTTGGGCGGGGTTTGCGGTGGCGTGTCGGTCTGGACGTCCGGATATCCGGCCATTTGCTGGGCCGACGACGACGACGAATTACTGTTGCCGCCATTGTAACCACTGCCGTAAAACCCGTTGGCGCCGTACCTGTGTACAAAAATACAGGTAAAACGGTCAGTCGTAAAAAAAATATCAATTTCGGTATACTCTGTACGCGCACGGTTTCAGATTTTTAGTCGACAAACCGTAAACGACGATAGAGAATTCGCACTAGTGTAATATTTTGAGTAGTTTTTTTTTTTTATATATATAATAATATAGCCATGAATCACATAATTTACCGCAGTTCGTCGTAGTTATTGTTTAACGTACTTGAATATAAAACGTAATAAAACCACCGTACAAGACATATTATGTTTAGGCATATTATAACATATAATATGTCTCTTCCATTGACGGAGGAGGGGTGTAAAACATTGAAAGTCGTCGTGGATGACGGAACAGGCCTGTTGAATTCACAACCGAGACACAATAATAATGAAAATATATGTTGTGCTCGGGCGTTATAATTAAACATGAGTATAAGTACGCGAGATCGAGTCACGATAACTTCGACTTCGAGGGGGGGGAGGATAGCAATGGATTCTACAGTTTACTTTTTTTTCGAATTCGATGAAATTGAACTGTAAACGCAGTGTTTGAGAGGTCGTGTTTCCGAGGGACGGGGAAAAAATTGGGAGTTTTGTGGTGTTATTTTGAGTTTTATCTATCGACACCTGTATAGACAGCAGCGGTCAGTATCTCGTCACAGACCTACGTCGCGACTCGCTTACCTGGCGTACGACGATCCAGACGGTGACAGTGACGAGCTGTTGGGCATGGTGAAACCGGGCGACGCCAGACTTGGACTGATCACGTTCGGCCACTGATGACCGGGCGGCGGGGTCTTGGAAGCGGCGGTGTCGGCCAGCGACCATATCTTCGGCTTGGTGGGCGGCAACGGTATACCGCAGTCCTGGTGGTGATCGTCCTGCATGACGTGGTGATGGTGAACCTTCATGTGGTGCATCTGGTCGGGGTGGTACAGGTGCTGGAGCATCGGTTTGCGGTCGTCGTCGCCGTCCGACATGACGCCTTGACCGCCCATCATGTGATCCCCGTGACCATCTGATATTTCGCACAGAAAAAAAAACACACACGTATAAATATTATGATCATTCCGTTGGGTTGCGAATGCGAGAGAAAGCCGGCAGATCGGGTTCCAGCGTTTGGCTGGCAACTCGATCTTGCCGCGGGAAACGAATGGACGTAGGTATATAATATTATGTTATTAGTGTCGCATAGCATGTATGGCGAACTATTGCGTTCAAAGCAAAACCTAACGTTCGATTTCTAACGGTCATATACCGTCCGTAAAAAATATCGATAATCTCACCCGGGCGGCGATTATTAGGCCCGATATCTTCCGATTTGTTTAATTAATTCGTTTTTAGTGAGCAGCTTGTGCGTGTGCATACATGAGAATATGAAAGAAACGCGGTTTCGCTATATGGTTTAATTCACGTTTTGTCGTGATGACGCTTCTTCTTTTCCCTATATAATTAGTAATTACCATTGAAAAATATAAAATATCTACAGCCAGTCACTGCAGTCGACGACTTCCGCACATACCAACGTGCGAAATTTACGAGAACCTCGTTGCGGGAAAATCCTACGCGGATGTCTCGGTCACATCGTATGCACATATAAGTATAAGTCGACGGTCATAGTTCTCGCCGGAACATACGCATATCTCTGTCATAATAACATAACGTACAAAGCATTTATAGTCGTCCCGTCCTAAATATATAACACGACGTGCAATGTGTGTCGTACGTGTTATAAACTATATATATATATGCGTGCGCGCGTAAAGGAAAATAGCGCGAATAAAAAACACCGTCGACGACGCGCACAATCGCGCGGAGAGAACACACATACACTGCACTTATACATAATATATATATACTCGTATTATTGTAATATTGTATTATCGCGGTCGAAATAATAATAATATATATATAAATGATAGGAATTTTCACGACTCGCGTGTATTGTTTATATTTACTACATACTCTATTATCTCGCGACACGTTTAGAGACACCTACACACACACACACACACGCATTCACTCACACACACGCATTATTGTTATTACTATTATTATTATATTATATATTATATATTGTGCGTGTGAGCGGCGTGTAATTGCGCGGATATGCAAATTTCGTACACACACGCGTATTATAATGTATACACGCTGCACAAACGCGCTCACGAATCGACACCGACCAGCGGCAGCATCCGTTCTACCGGAGTAGCTGCCCCGCTGCAGCCGCGGCGGCGCGCATAATATCTCGTATTATAAATACAGTCGCGCGCGCCCGATTCACACGGCGGCAGCGTACATTATTATATTATATATATATATATATACGTTGCGACTCATGACATCTTTATAAATATATATAAAATAATAACATACTGTGCGAGCATAGGTACCGTATAGGTAGGTACACGAGAAGAAACCAGGAATAAATTACCTTGCGCGATCGCGTGTGTCTGTGCAGTGTGTGTGTGTGTGTGTGTGTGTGTGTGTGTGAGACGTATTTATTTTTTCAACACGCGGTCTCTGGGTGTGAAACGGATTGCGCCGCGACGGTCGTGACCGGGAGATGGCCGAGATAAAGGCGAAAGCCCTACCGTTTCGAGTGTGTGCGCGCGAGCTGCACAATACACTCCAACTGTACTCGTATATTATACGACCATGAATAAAATACGATATACGTATTATTATTATTATAAACACCGTGCGTATATACGGTGGACAACGACGAGAGGGCTGTATACAAATGGGCACGTCCCGGAGGCGACAATGATTCATCCGTTCGGGCCGGCGAGTAAATGGCTGTACGGAGTTCCCGCGAGAGACGACCCCGTCGCCACGGTTTTAAACGGAGCACACAACACAACAATATTATATAGAATATTATTACAGTATATACAAAAAAATATACATATATAAACATATATATATATATATATAATTGTTATATTACCATGTGGTCCCCTCGCAAACGCCCGTATTATATTATACGAGATTGTCGCTATGTATATGGAAAAAAAATAAAAATACTTTTCGTTAATAGCTCCGAAATGGTAATACGCCCGATCGCTCTCTTCTTCTCGCGCCCTATCACGCTCTCTCTCTCTCTCTCTCTCTCTCTCCGCGGCCCGCACACATTAACCGTTTAGGGTGGGCGACCGTATAAAAGCTCTTAGATAATTTTCGACGAATAAACGCGTAATGCTGTGGGGTCCGCCACCGCCACTCGCACTGCAAGTGCAATATTCCACAAGTGTCATCCTCGTCCGATTTCATAAGCACCGCCGCGAGGGGACGCTCGCCAATTACGTAAATGCGTTACATCGTTTTCCAGAGTTTTTCCCGCCGACGTACTGTGGCGAACGCGCGCACGCAAACACACAAGAGAACGTTAACGTAACGCAATATTATATTCACGAGTTTAAGCAGACACAGGACGAATATACAAAATGTACAATAAATAGATAGGTGGAATAACGTATATAGTTTTGTACCTTTTCTGACGTCCTTGTTGCAGTGTTTCTCGTCGCCCATCAGCATGTCGTCCTTGTCCTTGTCCTCGCACTCGGACGACCCGGCGTCGTCGTCGTCGTCGTCGTCCGTCTTGTTCTTGGGCTCCCACGTCATTTTGTTCTCCTTCTTCAGCCGCCTCCGGGCGTTGGCGAACCACGTGCTCACCTGCGTAAGCGTCATCTTGGTGATGATGGCCAGCATGATCTTCTCGCCCTTGGTCGGGTACGGGTTCTTCTTGTGCTCGTTCAGCCACGACTTGAGTGTGGCCGTCGACTCCCGGGTGGCGTTCTTGCGCCTGGCCGCCAAGTCGTATCCCGCGCTGTACCTGCGGAACACACAAAAACGGACGTCCTGTCAGACACACGATGCAAAATACTAGGGCGCGTGTATGATATGCGGGAAACGAACAAGACGTGATAATATACGAACGGAGAGGACGCGCCGTCGTCCGGTCGAAACCCGACGGCGGCGGTCGAGGGGACGTGGATCGCGCGCGCACAGAAGATTTATGATCAATACCGGTTAGATTTATGCATCTATACGGGCTTGACCCCGCACCGGGACGTATACGCGCGCACGCGTGTGTGTAGTACGTATGGGTACGACGCGTAATTTATGCTCGACGACGACTATACGACCACGACGGGCGCATATTATGATATTCGTCTGCGCACACACGCGCGAGCGCTTTTATTATTATTGTTTCTCCGTCGTCTCTGCGCCGTCTTTTCGAATAAAAAATAAATTATTTTTTCGTACGCTTCCCCGCCCCCGCCCAATCTCGAACTGCGCACCCGGTCCGGCGAGTATCCCGCCGGGTTGTCACAACATGTCATCCGCGCGAGTGTATTATATCATATTATATTAATAATAATAATAATATAACATTTTGAATAATAATAACTTGCGCAGGCCGCACGTCCGCCGCTTAGTAATTTGTATAATCTCGACCGACAAAGACATGATGCCGAGCAATGCGAGAGAAAAACACAGAGTGCGGAGACGAGACGCGTAGTAGACAGTGGCGCTGTGAGAATCGGTCGAGAGGGACGCAGAAGAGACCTGTACAGGAGAGCAGAAGTCCATTAAGTCTTTTCGCGCCGACAATCAATGGCTGAAGCGCTCGCTACGCGTGTTTATATACGTATATAACACAAAAGCTCTGGGGATTATTATTGTCGTATATATATGTATAATACGATAACAATACATAATGATCAAGAGGGGAGGGTAGACAGGGGTACCAGAAATGTTCAGTAAACGCAAACAACACAACCCTGCGCGGGTCTGCGGTGCAGTATAATAATACACAGAAATATATATATATATATACACCTGCTGCATTATATACATTATATATACCTGCGGATTTTATTATGTAAAAGCGAAGCCTCCGTCATTAAAGACTATAATAATATCGTACATATTATATAATAAAAACGCAAAAACGGGCAAACGGAATAGAAATAATAATAATAAAAAATCAATGCCCTTTGAGTTTAGACGAGAATTCCGCGGCATCACCGATCGTGTTTTCTCTCTATATATGGCCTCGGTATAACCGGTGCGTGACGGCGGTGGCGCCGAGTAATCGATATTATCGCCGACCGGCCATTTTGTCTTGGGTAGTAGTATAGTATTAGTAGTAGTAATAGTAGTATTAGTATTATAATATACTATAACTAGTAACTAGTAACTACGCTTTGCTATAATATAACTCCATCGCATATAATATAATAAAAGTATTATTATTGTGCCATTGCTTTTTATTGCGCGCTAACGTTATTATATGGCTACGGCATGCAGAATACCACGATCTACTCGTACGGTCGCTCGACACCGATATCAGTGTCGACGCCGCAATGAGAGGCTGTTTGAAACGGATTTCGGTTCAAGCGCGCGCAAAGGGGGGGTGAATGATCAAATACGAAAACAACAAACACTGCTCCTCACCCGTAAGCGGCCAGAGTGGAGTCGTAATGATAATAGCCGGTGGACGGTTGCAGACTGGCGCTGGACCACATGTCCGACGATCCCGTGGAATCTTTCAGCCCGTACGGGTTGCTCTGTAAAAACAAAAAAAAATAAAAACTCATAAAGCGAATGAAAAAAAAGTTAAACGTACGAGCAATTTTTCTTTTTGCCCGGGACAATACATACATATATATAAATATATATATATTTATAATAATACGACAACGACAACGACGACTATGACTATACGAAACGTGCGCGCAAGTTTTTTCAAACACGCGGACACGACAATCAGGTTAGGTCGAGTCTATAAATCGACGATTCTGTATATAAGGCGGCTTATAATAATGTACATGAAACTGGTCGAGAGGTAATCCCCCCCGTTTGTGTATACACAATTTGCCCAGGAGGTCCGACCCATCAACGTCATAAGATTGCTGCGTGCTGCACTATCCTTATTATTATTGTTGTTGTTATATTGTCGTCTATATGTCAGAACGAACCGACCATGTGACCGTGTGACAAGCAGCGGTGGCGTTTCGGAAGATCCAGCGATCAATCTATTTTAAATGTAGCGAGTACCTACGTCATGTTAAGTAAACCGGTGCAAAGTCGAAACTTTGTTTCGGCCGCGGTCTCTGAGAACTAATCTCTATATAATACAATAAAAACTAGCTGTAGCGTACAGTCGCATAGACGCTCGACGGTATACATTTCAAACACATAATAATATGATGTATAAATAATAAACAGATTCAAAATTGAAATAAAAAACAGGTTATTCGTAGATCAAAATTAATTTGTAATTTTTTTATTTAATGGAACGATGTAATTGTATAATATGTTAAACCGCAGAAAACGTTTTTACGAATTCAGAACAGGTTTCGCCTCCTACTTCGTCCGATGATAATATATTAGTTATATATATTAATGTATTATGCGTATAGACTGTGCGGCTCACAAGTTTATTTGGTTTACGATCATTTATTTTTTTAATTGATACACATCGATAACGATTTATATGCGCATCTATATAGATATATGCCTGATCTAATTGTTTTTACCATTATTATATACATACATAATAAATAATGATCAATCAGTTGCTTATAATATAGTCTCTGGATTTTTTTTTATAATGATTTTATGCGCCACGTAGATCGCCAGAGTCAAGACGATAAATATACATATATATACATATATATATATATTATGTATACTGTACACTCGATTAATAATAAATTAAGGTAAAGCTGTTAAAATATTAGTTGAACATTTCATTTTTTATTATACAGATAGATCGTCGATATGATATAATCGTGTGTTAAATAGTTAAGGCACGCATACATATATGGGTGTAATTATTGAGTTTGATGTAACTCGATACATGGTCGTAAAACGAATGATATCGGGAAATGATTTCACGCCACACATATAAATCGGCAAACTCGTAGACTAATAACGACATACGAATACTTGCCACTCGTATCGATTAATATAATACTGCTGCGCTCTGTTCGTATAATATTATTGTCTTATTAAATACAGTCACACAGGAACCAACTCACGATTTTTTATTCTCATCCTTTTTAAAATATTGACAATAGTGTTTAACGAATTTCTATTAAACGTCGTTTTGTTTCTCCAACCGCATCATGGCATAATTGCATAATTGCATAAGTATATGACTAATTATATATAAATTATTGATAAACAGCATATGATTTTATAAGATTACAATACATTAGAAAATTAGAGTTTAATTATTTCTACAGTTACTACACATGAATGTAGGTAGGTTCGTTCAATACGTTTTGGAATTTTAAAATTGGAAGTAATAAATGCTGTACGCGAACAATGCAGACTCTATAAGAAATTTTACACCTTTTTACGTCACTCCGACGTCGACATTGGCATGTATAATACATTATTAAACACGATAAAAGCACTAAATATACATAGACCGGATGAATATTGGATCGAAAACAACACAACGACGACCTATGCCATCATCAAAAGCTTTTCACGCATGTACACAATAATATTGAACGTAACACAATATATTATATTATAATCTATACGTATACGTATACATATATATCTATATATAGATGTAGATGTACGCGTGAGTGCGTTCAGTCACGTAGTCAATAATAATATTTCGCGATTTTTTTTTTTCCATCGACCGATCGTTTACTATTATATTAAATATAATATATACTATATTAAAATATAATCGCGTTTGGAATTTAATCGGAGGGAAACTCGAGTAATACGTTTAGCGCTCACACGCGCCCGCGCGTATTCGCACGCGGATAAAGAGACGCACAAGACAGTGTGTATATATTATATTATACTATATACACAGTGTTTAATGAAGTAATACGATTTTAATAACCGGTTTAACGGGCGAGTGTATACCGTGGTATTTAGATGATGACACGGAGAGGGTGTGCACGAGTGCAGTGTGTGCGTGTGTGTACGTGTGTGTGGGAGTGTGCAAATATTTGGTCTGGCAGCAGCAGGAGGAGCAGCGGCAGCAGGAGCAAGCAGCAGCAGCTGGGTCAGACGTGGTGAAGCTTCCTATCGTGCGCCGGGGTTAAGTGTTAGATACGGCTCCCCGGGGATCGGCGACAGCGGCAGCGGCGACGACGGCGGGGCGTTAAGAAGCCACCCTGTGGGATATACGCTTTTAATATTAAATATATATAGCGCCGCGATGTGCAGCACCCTCGGAGGAATTTCACGGCTTCCCGGTTTTAGCTGCGCGCGTATATATTATTATTAGATGTATATACTCGCATATAATGTATAATGGCGGAAGGGGATGACGACCCGTCGGCGACGAGCCCCGCGCGCATATGTATATATATTGAAATTTATCGACGTTAACGATGTATACGGTCATAATAAGTAGGTACGTTGTTATTATATGATATTAACATTTATTTTTATGGTCTTGCAGCGTGATGTACAATTTCGTCAGTACATGGCGGACCGTTGTCGGACAGTGTATATAGGGTTTAACACAATTGCAGAGACCAAAATACATAATATCCACATTTGCGTCCAATTCTTTTAACGTTATATCCACAGTTGAAGCTTCAGGGGAAAGACAAACTACGGCCATCGGTAGACTGTTTATTTTTTTTAAGTAAAATATATTTTGTATATTGTTACGTAGAAAATATTATAATTATATCATAATATCTATCACTATATATAATAATAAATAATAATAAAAAGAGAAAATACAATACAATCATAACAACACGTATACCTACAGATATAAGGCGTTTCGTAATATGTCATATTTATACGTTACTAAATAGGCAATAATATTTGTAGGCTCTAGGATGTCTAGGATTTTAATATTTTATTATATAACATTTAACTCGTTTAAGCATTTTTTTTTTTTTTTCTATGAACGTGGAATGAGTATCATTTATTTTAGTTCAAAATTAAACAAAAATATTTTACTCTAGTTATATTAGAAACTCTAGATAATTGTAAAAAATGACATCCAAAGAAGCGATTTTTTCAAAAATACTGTCATGCCACTCTTTACTAGACCGAAACAGTAAAACCGTATCAATAGATATATTATACTGGCGTCGCTACAGACAAATTCGCTAAAAACCGTGCGCTACTTCTAATACCTAGATGTGGAAAATTATTATTAAATTACTCTATCCAAATGGTATTATAAAAACAAAGCAAGATCTCATTCGCATCACTTTAAAAGAGTTGTGCGCTAAAATTTACAACTATACAGTTAATTCATTGAAAATTATGATTGGCATTTGAGTAGGTATTAATGATTGTTTTTCTGCTACGAAACACAACGTTCAATATATGACATTGTAATTCGTAGAAACCAACGACGTTACGCATCGTTATCGTGTTAAAACACGAAAAGAACAAAAAAAAAAAAAAAACAATATATAATACATCGAAACAAGGTTTATCTTACAGAAACATCACGTCGTTTATGAGTGGTGGTGGCCGGAAATCCGGTGGGAAATAATTATGTCCGCCCGTTCCCATAAATATGGAATTTATCCAAGAAAAGTTTATTTTTTTTATTTATTTATCTACACCACATCTAGTCCTGACGATTTTTACCGAATGTACGTCGTTGTATCCGGATAAATAGTATAGACTCAGTCCGCTAAACACACGCCTGCAGCACTTTCATAAACGCTAAATATAACATATATATTTTATATATATATATATATATATATATCAACTGTATATACGATGAAAGCTCGGTCGGATGTCCAACGCCGCGCGCCACTATAAAAGAGACCCGTCGCGCGCGCCAAACACGGTTTAGCTTTATCCAAGTCGTTATTTTTCGACGTGCGCATACCCCTTTTTCAACCCCATATCTGTGTGTCCCCCAAGAGCTCTGACGTCGGATTTTGTTCATACATACCTACTTTATATCCTCTCTCACATACACTACACCTATATGTATGTATGTGTATATATAGAGAGAGACATTCTGAAAGCGTTCTCACGTCCTTCACTATAAATTTCGTCGTTATATATAATATATATGCATGTATATATCGAGAAACGCTTTGAATTTATGCGCGGTGGTGGGCTTTTAACGTTACCGCCGCCGCCGGGGAAATCGCTACACGAATTTATATACGCACACACACATACATATATAAATGGATACGATATGGTGTTTGGGAAATCGCACCTGTTTGTCGGTGAAGTGGTTTATCGCGTGGTGTTAATGGTCTCGCGCGTTTGTCCCGTGGGGTGATCAATCGCCGAGAGATTGGAAAATGTAAGCAGGAATAAAAACTGTTTCCAAACACGACCAAAATCCACTTTTACGCTTAAAAAAAATTGAACACCGAGGTATATATGGTTTATACGTATAGAATCAATATAAATATATATATAATGTATTATATCATAAAAGCGATTTGTATCATAAAACGCTGTGCTCATGTAAGATCGGATCTTTTGAAGTATATAAGTGTATATAGGTAAATGATGGCATATATTATATTTTATTTTATTTAATATATATATTATGTACATAGATGCCAAACACATTAACTATTAAATTGCGTGATTTTGGACAAGGGTGCGTGAACGACCTTGGAACACGGCAACGAAATAAAATAGTATGGATACACAAAGTACGTAATATATTATGTAGGTGCACGATATATATTTTCGACTGGAAAATATTATACACAAGCAACGACACACGGTTATTGAATAATATAAAAACAGAAGTATCAAATATGCGCTCAAAATAAAACGAGTGCGTGAACGTAATAGTGTATTGATATAGTATCATATAATATTATGAAGTGGTGCGAACCAGGTATCTTATCCAAACGAATTCGTGTCCGCCGTCACACGCTACACAAAACGTATTGATCCTAGAATGTAATAATAACGAGTGGAATATTAGGAGTAAGTTAAAACAAAACGCTATACCACTGTTCCATAAATTATTATTATAGTATGCCTGCGAGTGCTGCGACTCGGACGATACGGCGACGATGGCGGTTTATGGAATAATATATTAGTGGTAATAATAAGCCGCACACGATACTGCGCACGGTGTGGTATAGGCATAGACAGTACAATTACTATACATCTGATATGTATGACATGGAACGAGTTTCGCGACGTATACTAATATCATACCTATATAAATATATATTATGTATGAACTATGTGTAGATATTATAGAGGCACTACGTAAATGGAAATTCGTTTTGCGCGACGTGTTTGGACTGTTTAGAGCAAGAAAAAAAAAATTCTTTCCAGACAACTATATTATCTCTCGTACATATTGTACACACTACATCCATTAAATAGCGGCAGTATTACGCGTCGTAGCTATTGCAAGCCGCACAGAGAGAATGGCGAAGAAACTTTCCGCGAATAATCGTCGCTCGCTCCGCAGACAAGAGGAGTCCTTCGTTACGTCTATTGTTTGTTTCCTCTCTTTCTCTCTCTCTCTCTCTCAGTTTTTCCACCACTTTTTCATTACTGTTATTATTGTTATCATTATTTTTGCACTCGACTACAATTAGCGTCGGTTGTAAAACAAGAAATAATATACCAACATATTTAATACGATATTATTATGTAAAACACGACCGCCACAATGGTCTACGACTCTACGTCGTCGCCGCGCATGAGTTATTGGTGGTGGACGTAAGTAGAAACGAAGGGTTCGAACGAACGCATGGGGGGGCGGATGGCGAGGGTGTGTCGGGATGACGGGGGACACACACCATTAAAGTCGACAACAGGTCAATACGTTGTGGGAACTCGTATTACGGCTTGCTATGTGTGTGCGTGTGTGCGTGCGTACACGATTGTCCCGTGTTGGAAGAAACGAGAAGAAGAAGAGACAAGAGTAATATGTATATATATATTGTGGCGCCAAACTTAGTCTGAACAATGTTAAACTATGTGCGTGTGTGCGTAATATAATATAAAATGTATTTTTCCCGCTTTCAAATTCTCTATCCGCGCCATCAGCGAGTAATACCTTTTATTCCTTCAGGATCGTGCCAGCCGGTCAGTGCGTGGTACAGCGCACTGTGTATATAAAAATATAAATCCCTTCTACGGCCGAGTGTAAATCCGTGGCCGAATACGTGACTGGAAATCGTGACAAAGGGCGTGCGATCGTGTGTGTATGTGTGCGCGCGCGCTACGGTGTATATTGTATAATATGTATACCGCATATTTCCGGAAGACTCACCTACTACTCAAAAGCTCTGCACCCGGTCAACTTAAAAGGTCAATTCCATTTTCCCCTCATCATATAATTTATAGACGTTTTTCACGAATACAGTCCTATGCCAGTCGTATATAAGGGTGCAAAATACGCGCTGTACATATTACACTACAGTTACTGCAAGCATATAAGTGCTCGATATACTTTTATATTATATTATTGTGTTATTGTTGACCGACGTGACGTATTGATTACCAGACTGTGAAAGCAATAATAGATATATAAATACCTAAGTCCTTTGGGAAACGCAAAACATTTCCAGTTAAAAGCTATATATAAACCATATTATGTATTCGACAAATATTATACGGTAGTAAAAAGTAATTTGTATTTATTATTTATTATTCATTATAATTATGACCTGTTCTATAATTAATTATAAATATCGAAAACAAGAAATTATGTATACCCTACAGGAGGCAATGGTATTGCAATTACTGATGTTTTGTCCTTCACAAAAAAAAAAAAACTAGTCTTAAAGTTGTAGTAACCTAATTTAATTCTGTATAATTTTACTTAAGTGCGTAATAATAAATGATAATAAATAATTTCTACATACTCTGAGAAGAATTTACTTTTCAAATGATTGAAAAACATTCAATAAGGATTTCCTGCCTTGCATAGATAATTAGGACTTGGCTTGTAAGTTACACAAAATATCCGTCGCGTCATCGTGCACACAACGGTTAAGTGTATTATTATTTTCGACGTCATCGCACGCGTATAGACACGGTAGCGCATACAATAATAATACGTGTCAGTGGGATAACGTATCAATCAACTGCATACGAGCACACGTTATATACACACCCATTACCGCCTCATTCGCTCTCTCTCACTCCCACCCATTCCCCCGTACGGTCTGCAGTGTGTGTATAAACTCATTGATATAAAAGATGCTCGTGTTTATATTCATCAATCCACCCCTCGTATATATACGGTTATTTTTCACGCGGCGGCGGCGTTTACTACCCTCTTTATACTCGATCGCGTATATATATAAAGTCATAAGCTTCTCTCTTTATTTATTTTTTCGCTCCCCCAAAAAGGCTCTCTCAGTACTGCCGCCGTCAATTTTCCGCTCGTTAATGAAGCCTCCGCCCAGGCAGTTGCGGTTCTCTCGTGCGCGTACACACACACGTTTGCGTGCGCGAACGAGTAGGGTGTATATAGGGTAGTATCGTAGAAGTGGTATATACATATACGTAATGCGCGTATACAAAGAGAGAGGCGCACAGCACAACAGTTCGCGAAATCACCGCCACCGCACTCTCCTCCGCCCGTCAATAAATCACGTTCCACGCCGATTTCTACCCCCTGTAGCAACGGAGACGGCGGTAGATGGGCGTCATCCCTCTCTACGGTTAACCGGAGGCTGTGGCGGTAGCGGATTGATTTATGAACGTTGCACTTCGCGCGCGCCAAAGCTTCTTCTCTCGCCGCCGCCGTCGATGGAGTTTATATATACACGCGACCCAATCATATATATATAATAATATAGTAGTAGACTTTTGCGCGTGTAAAGGCTTTTTATTTCTGAGCGCACCCCAAATAATCGAATATAATTGATACTGGATTATATGGGCGACTTGACTTATGGGCTCGCGTTAAAAGGGCCATTAAAGAAAAAAAAAGATACTGCAGAAAAAACTGAGATCCATTGCGTGAAATCACCGAACAATGACGTGTCTCTACGACGCGGAGTATAAGCACGACAAATTCGAAATACGTGAAACCTAATTTATATTAACTTAACCACGACATTTTATGTAACGCAAGAGATTGCTGATATATCACGGTAGTGTTCGACTAAAATAGGCGCAATGATTTTCTTTTACAATAGTTAATTTAAAAACATCCAAATATAATCTGTTAGTCCGAATTCTTATCTTTATAACAGTAATGATGTACAGTGGCACATACGAAGTGAGGGAGGGGAAATAAAGAATCAAACTCCGTCTTTCAAACGTTTTCCTCTATGAAAATATATTCCTACAAAATACGACTCTCTTCAGAATCAGAAGTATTACATTTTGGAAAAATTATAATCAGCATAAGCCTCTCCGTAAAATATCGTTTGTGTACCTACTGCAGGCATTGATCGAATAAACAATAAATCAAGAGCGACACACACAAGCGACGACGAATTCCGGGACGCATAACATAAAAAAAAAAAACGAATGAAATGAAATTTTTTTATTTGCAATAGGTACGGGGGGTATACTGACTCGTTTTATAATCTCTTGAAAATAAGTTTGTAAACGATGTCGAACGATCACTTTATTTTTGGTGCAACACTTGCACACGATGCTGTTAATCGCGGTCCTCGTCGACACTCGTGATACATCCTTTACAATGATCAACGTCGGTACTATATAATATTATGTCGTACATTACCTTTGCAGCGTCGGTGTCACTTTATTATGTTACACGTCTGCACCGTTTGTACCCCGTTCGGTTTTCAACGTTTACAATACGCACCGACGTCTTACACGTTTGACGAAATGGGTCAAAGTATGGCGGTGACCCTGTGACTCGGTTTCCACCAGACGCAGAGTGTTAATAAAGTATTTCATTATATTTTTGATCGTTCACTTATTACAAGTATACGCGTCGATTTGATCGGCGTATACGACAAATAATATAATAATACAATATAACGCATAGTCTATAACGTCATCGTATCGCCTGCACGACATCTATACGCTGCGCCTAATATTATATTTTTTTAATAAAATCGCTACCTCTGACATTGCGCTCACATATCGTTATCATATACAGCTAAAAAACTCACCAAATGCGGGTAGAACGATGACGTGTCGATGCTCGGATACGGGTTCTGGTCTGTGGACGGGTACGGCGCGTACACGGCCGTTGTGGCCGGCGTGCTGCGGTGGGTGGCGTAATGCGGTGGCAACGACGCGGCCGCGGCCAGGTGGCACGAGCACACGGCCACGGCGGACTCGGAACCCGCGGTGCGGTCGCCCGTGCCGCCGGCGACGGTTCCGGCGGTACAGCACGTGCCGCATCCGGCAGCGCCCATGACGTCGGGCGATAAGCCGCCGCCCCCGCCACCGGCGGCCAACGGCGGTGATACCGACTCTGCCGTCATCGCGCTCTGCGAAAATAAAAACAAAGATATATTAGGTATGCTATAACAATTACGTAAAACAAAAAAAAAAAAATCGTGACATGCGAGATATTATAAATTACAATACATAATATATGCCCGCCGGAAATTTAGTAACTTATACCCGTATTATAGTATTATCGATCGATCTAAAAATAAATAGGCATAATAGGTATATATATATATATATATATATATATAATGTATCCACAAAATGATCGTCTTATAACAAAACAACTAGCATTAATAAATAAATCAAAATTTTTTCACTAAAAGTTTATTCGTCCAGTGAATCGTGCCTTTTTTTCCTTACACATCATCAAATGCATTTATTTTTCGATATTTATGAGCAGATTATGCAAATAAATAAAAAAAATATATAGCTGAAAATTGAAAATAAAAACAATAAATAATAATACGAAGTAAAATAATACGAAAAATGCAGCATAAATAATATTATATACTCGTACATTAAACAGCTAAAATAAAGTTAAAGATATTAATTTTGGAGCGTTTATGTATTTAATTGCCAAAACTGTATGTTAATAATTTTTGAAAATTTACCGAACTGTAAATATAGTATTGCAAATATGAAATAATAGTAATGCATATTTAAATGAGCCTAAATACATAATATATATACATTCGGAAGTCATAGCTTCGGAGATATACCTAAAAAGAGAAATAGTGAGATGAATGAAGAGAATTATAGAGAGGGCGAGGCAAAGAAACGTATAGTGATTTGTTTTAAAAAGAGTAGAATCTATCAGATGTGTCTACTTTGCGAACATATAAATATATAAGTAGTATATAAAGACAATGTATATAGTCTTAAAAGAATTATGGCGATACGCAAATGACTCGAGCAAATTCGAACAAAAAAAAAATTTTATTTTTAGACTTTTGTACCTATATCACTGTCACATCAACGTAATGCCCCAATTTTACCTTACATTTTATTTTAATAATTATGTTATTATTTAATGAACACAAAACAAAAAGGATCCTCGAGAGAGAAAATATATTGAAATAGGTGCTTACGCGGTTTATGGTTTATTTAGATATTAGCTTATGGGGAATCTGAATGACTAAATACTCGTGCGAGCTGATAAGGGGGAGGTAAAAGTTGATTACGAGTTATGACAGCTGGTATTAATCAAGAACCGTCGGGGAAAACGAACGAAGGCATAATAAACATAATAATATTAAATAATAAATATATATTATACGTGACGATTGATTTGAATTCATCAGAGAAAAAACGCAACTGATAATAATAATAACGTGTCGCGTTGTTGTAGCAAAACCGAGTTAGTGTATATACACACAACAGCTATGCTGCTGCAGCTAGGAACACTGACAGCAAGCTGTCAAACAAAACCATCGTAATCCAGACGTATTTATATACATATATCTGCGCGTTATATAATTTTTGTATTGACATGGTGTATATATATATATATATAATATATTGTACATAGTAAACAGCCCGTCGTTTTCACGCAAAATCTACGCGCGCAAAGGAAATCGATACGTTTCGTAACATTAAACGCCATCGTCACCTCGGTTTAGGTGTGCGCACGCATAGTATTACGACGGGCGGACAGAGCTCCGTCTGCGGGCAGCGGGCGTCTGTCGTCGTATAATTATTTTAATTGGCCATTCGATACCAGAGTCCGAGTGTATGTGTATGTGTGTGAGTGTGTGAGAGAGGACGGTGGCGAGTAGACCGGTTGTGAGGTGTGAACCCGAAAGCGTTTCGTCGGGTTTTCAAGAAAGGTGTACTAAATATATATAGATATATATATATATATATGTGTGTATATGCGTACTTACGTACGTATTAATATATTATATTATTATCTATATCTCGTCGTCGTCGTCGTCAACACCAACTCGACCGCAAAAACCAATAGACCGGAATGACCGGGCGGCAGCGGTAGACAATAATGAAAATATAACAATATATTATTATTATATTATGCAGCATAATATATGAATAAACATACACACCTATGGCCGTATATTATATGCGCATAGATATCCGACCGTACGGGCCGCCATAATTTTTTTTTTTTTTTTTTATAACAGAGAAATTATATATATTTACACGTTTTATATGGTTTACTGCGACGCGGAACAAACGCGATGCGACACGTCGCCGGTTCGACGGAAAACCGTCGGCAGGTGTCGGTGTGCCCGTGTTTTTCGAAACCCTAACACGATTACGCGCGCATTAATATAATATAATATGAATTATAATTTACTATTATTATTTGAAAATATTGTTGTCGCACGCGAAATACTATTATCGGTTACCGATGCGCACTACAAACACGCACGACGATTAAAGAGTATAATATTATTATGCGTAATAGTACTCGTCTATTTAGTGTCTACCTATTGTTATGTCTGCGCGCATATCAATCTTACACATCCGATCGGGGAAAATCGGAAATTTTGTCTAAACGCTCGCACACCTCGTGATGCCTAATTATTATTGAACGCTGACACGTCGAGAATCGATTGGGTCAATACGGTCCGTCATAATATGATATAATATATGCCTACATTAATTATCATATTATGACAATTTGAGTAATCTCGCGTGGGTACCGATAAAATATGATTTGCGATACAATTAGGGCTCGCCGATCGTATTACTATTATCATAGACGGATAAAACTCTTGCACTACACATTGCTGGTTAACTATAATATAATAATATACGCATACGCTCACACACACACACACACACACACACACACATATATATAAATATAAATATATAATATAATATAAATACATGTACACACAGACACCCGGCGTCAGGCTTGCCTATGTCCCGGACGTTATACATAATAGCATATATAAACGGGTAGGAGGTCAATGGTGGGGTGTAGTAACGTAATAAAATTCTATATAATTTATACACGCAGTAACAATTCATAAATATTTATGAACCCGTTTTCGTGGGCTATATACGTGCGTATATACAACACCACCACCGTGTGTATATACGCGATGCGTTTGATCGTCGTACTGATAACAGCCATTATTACGGTTATATATTATAAATATATATTATACGCATACATAATATACATATAACATAAAATACCCACACGCGTGTTTTTTAATATAAATATATATAAATATATATACATGTTTTTTGCACTCTACACCGCTGCTTGCGCTCTCTATTACACGTACCTACCTACCTACCTACCTATATATTTATATTATAAGTGTGCTAAAATGCGCTTTTGTTAATTAACATTTTCAATAGTATAAGCTATATAATATACATATATGTATTAAGTGTGCTTATGGGACTTATAAGTTGTAATACACACTTACGAATATACGACATCGTTGAGGTTGTCATGCGTAACGCGTTTTATTTGCGACGCGGGCGATAGGCGAATTTCACCAGGTTATCAATCAACTACGTTGCGGGTAAGGGAAAACTCGTGTTTTTGACTATATATATAAATATAATATGGGGAACATGTGTCATAACTCATAGCCTAGGCGTGCAAGAATAGCCATCGCTCTCCCTCACCACTCCCACACATAATTTCCTTGCTCGAGAGTATAAAATATAATTTTTTTTTTTTTCGTAGAATATTTCGAGTCGGTTATTATATATATAGAGATGGATAAATAGAAAGAGAAAAAAAGTCTCCTGTGTATTTTTTTCCGTCTCTTTCCGAGAGAGTTGTTGACACATTGTTTACATACTTAACGTCCCACACGACATGAACGAAATAATATACGAGCTTATTGTTGGAAAATAATAATATTAAAAAGTAGAAAAAACGTTGACAAGATTATCGTATATTATGTATACATATATATGTGCGTGTATATATATATACACTCTCAGCGCTGTGAACGTTTTTTTACGAATATTTATTATATTAATATATTATACTTTTTTCTACTCTCCTGCAATGTATACATACATCCACTTCACCGCCCCGACGGCCTACACCACGGGTCACCACGGCCATCCGAAATGATTCATTTGCGCCGAAATAATCGGTATATAATACATTATATACATATACATGTTGTATAATATATATATCTATTATATTTGAATATTGTGTTCGACCACGACGGCAAATAATAGATAACATTGTGTTTAAATTTAATGAAATCAAGAGTTTTCGAAATATATAATTTATATATCACATTCATAATACAGTAATAAAGATTAATATTTTATTGAAAATTCGTTGAGTGTAAAATGAAAATATAATCAAAACGACATTGCCCTTATTGTATTCTGTTACCACGCGAAAAACATTAATAATTAAAAGTCGCATTATCCTATTGCCACGAAAACAATGAAATAAAAAAAAAAGTATACACTTCGCTTAATATCATAAATATACGTATAATAAATTGTCGGTAGCCGATCGGTAGACCGTGAAGCTTTGGCTGCTGATTTTTGTACTTATATAATATTATATACTCGCAACTGCGCACGTACAATGTATATATGCACACCGCAAACTTACGGCAGACATTGTGTGTAAAGTAGGAATGCAATTAGTTATAGGTAACTATTATACATTAGACTGAGCCTCGAATTGCAAGTCACGAGCGACCTCGTCGCATCAAATAGACTCGAGAAAAACGACTCTTTCAATATTGCCGGTTAAACGATGTCGTTGAAGTATTCTTATAATAGTTTAACGAATAATTTATTGTTCTACATGATTTATTATATAGCAAAAAGAATCTAATAATTTTATTTTATTAAAACGGAAGAAAATAGAAAAACATACGACAATATAACCATTACCACCGATGACAATACCTATATTATTTAATATATTGTATTTCATATTTAAATATTTAATAATCAATATAAAGTGATTTACTAACAATGTTCACCCAATTTTTCTTAAAAATTTTTGGAATTTTCAAATATACAGAAGTATTACATGTTTTCAAGTTCTTGATATCTTATGTAC